CTCCCATCCTGCTAAATCCATGTCCACAGCTGGCAGACCTTATGTCTCCACCTCATTTGCAATGAAAACCTACAGTTCTCTCACTTTCAGCCCAGCCTTAAGGATTTAGAGTCCTATGGCTCCATTGTATGTATGCCCAGCACATCTGGCTGGATTTGGTACCCACTGTGTTTCCCTTGGGGCGTGAAAGATCTCCACATCATGCTGAATCAGAAGGGCCCTTTCCTAACACAAATGGCATTACTAAGTCATAAGAATAAAGTGCTATAAATGCAAAATAATTTTATGTAAGGCTATGTGTGCACCTCTGACACTGCTCCCTGGGGAAGGTTCATTGTCCTCCTTCCCAGCTCTGCCTGTTGAGAGCAACCTGCAGGGAACAGCTCTAGGTGACCAAGCTGCACTGAAACCTTCCTCCATGGCTGTGTGCACCAGGGACTGAGCTGCTTGCTCCGTTGTGCCTCACCAAAAGCAGCTCCTTGGTGATCAACAAAACCTGCCGGACACCTGCAACGCTCTGACAGTCATGTCACCCTGCCAAGGGGATAGCACAAGAGAGACAGGGGTGGCTTTGCAGCTGATGTGAGGATGATTTAAATATTCCTGATAGATTCCTCTTGCATGTGGTGGGACTGCTCTTCTTGGGCTTGGTTTTAAACCTTTTTAGCATCAGCTTTGAACAGAGCCTCCCTGTAATTCTACAGGCTCAGTGCTGAAGGTGAGAGATCCCAGGGATCTCAACCCCAACTCACACCCTGGGGAGCAGTCTGCTACAATTAATGAACTGGAACCGCTTCTCACAGATGCGAAGATGAAACTTTGCACTGGAAGCACTGGTCTCTTCTGCACTTAGTTCAGCCTTGACACATGATCAAGGAAAACCTGCAGCTTGTGTTGCTAAGTAGCTGCCATCATAACAAATCTTTTTGTGCCTTTTCTGGCTCATTGCTGCCTCCCTCAGCATCATCAAGACTAGGTACAAGTTTGCATTCATATAATTACAAAATGCAAAATTAGTTTATTTGCAGGGTCTCTCATCACTTATTTCACCAATCAGAGAAACATTCCTAAGCATCAAATTTGGCCTTGAAATCCAAGTACTAAGCCGCTTCTCTTTCTATTTTTTCTCACAACACCGACTGTGGTTTCTTATTCCTTAAACATCAGCATTTCTTTTGTTTTGGAGATTAGTCCCGTAGTCAAGGAATACGAGAAGCAGATTAATTTGTACAAAGACAGATTTAGCTGAACTTTTCTGCAAAAATGCTCAGCAGTGGAATGGTTTATGGTATTCTGATCTCTTAGTTTCAGAGTTAGCAATACAGTGCAATGTGTGGTACAAGCTGCCAGTGGAGCTCACGTTGACACTAATTCTGGCTTACTCTCCAGTAATGTGAGGACTGGATATATTACCTTTCACAAAATGAACAAAAAATTAGTGCAGACATATCTGCTGGCAGAGGCTGGACTTGAGCTCTGTCATAGAAATTTCTGATTTGAGGGAGTACTTTCTACTTCTGCCTTGGAAAAGCAGAATATTAATAGTGGTGTGCAGGTTGACGATGAACATGCCAATATACCAGTTTTAGCCAGGCTTGGGACATCTGAATTCAAACAGCAATATTGTGAATAATTTTCTTAGACTGATTTAACACACATGCAAAGTTGGCACAGCCATCCAAAAAAGCAATCCTCACTCCTTCCCTTCTCTACTCTCCTGCCTGGTGCTTCTTGTGTTATGCTGGAATAAGTTTCTGTGTGGCTGCCCAGTGTGCAGGATGTGAGAGTTGATCCAGCTGGAGAAAAATAGGTTTCTTTTGGTGGGTTTTACCCTGAATCAGTTCCCACCATCCTCAAACCTAGAAAACTAAATTGTACAAATAATTGCCAGCACTACCTGGGCACTGCAAGGCAGGGATGGGGAAAGTATTCCAAAAAATACTGCAAAAGAGTTTAATTTAGAGAGGAATCCTTGCATGGAAAACACTACTGGCTTTAAACCCCCATCTGCTCCAGAAGGATGCCAAGTGTCATGAGAAACTCTGTGTTTCTCATAATTTGTATTCTTGATCGATGTCAAACAACATTTATAAACATCCATAATTAAAGGTTAACAACACAGTCCTCACTCATTAAGTGTTAGTTTCAGGCTATGTTATGATGTTTAATGTTTTTACTGAAAACGAAAGTTGGGCAAACAAGAAAAGCAGGGGGACTGGGGGAGGGAGAACACGTAGAGACCCAGCTTGTGACAACCAAACTAACTGTTGTATTCTTCCTGGCTGCTGGGGAATAGCTATGGCCAAATGAAATTAGAGGGTGTGTTCTCCCAGAAAGTTTCTGGCATTTCATTCTACTTATAGCACAACATTAACATTAGTGTTTGGCTAATATGAATTTTTCTCCTAGCTGACTTTTTGTATTGTTTTTTGATTCTACATGAAGATGTTCTAAACCAAAGAAAAAGTAAAACCAGCTCCTGTGACAATAACCAGGGAAAATCTTCCCTTCCTCTATCTCCTGTTCTTGTCTCCTCCCATGGATTATCATAGAGAGGTCAGCAAGAAATGCAGATAACTGTCCTTTCTTCCTTGTGTGTTGAAACAACCTCCTTCTTGGTCCTTCAGCTTTTCTGTTTGTGTTGTAGAAGTTCACAGCATATAGCTCAGCCACTCCTTGGAGGTGTAACAGAAGAAAAATATTTGAAAAAGCACAAAGATGAATGCAACCTCTTGAGGAAAGATATTGCACAAGTAGTAGATACTTGAGAGCTTTAGAAACAGAAAAATTTATCCAAATCCCACTCCCCCCTCAAGAAATGTCAAGTACCCCCCCACAGACTCAGGTGTAGCAGAGGGATGAAAATACAGAGTGAAGAATAACCCTTTGAAATTTGACTTCCTTTGCTGGTGTGGGACACCAGCTAGAAAGACCAAAGCAGAAAAGGCAATCTCGTGTCTAAAAACAATGGGCTCAGCTCAATATCCACAGTACTATTTATCTGAGCCTCCAACAAAGTCCCTGCAGCAAAGTCACACACAGCAGCTGCCAGGTCAGTTGCTTAACAAGTTGGTTTAAAATCATGAAGCGTGAGTTCCCGTGATAGCTAAAATTATTGGCTAAAGGTAAGTCTTATGAATTAGGAAGAGTCCTCTACTTATACCCTTCCCAGAAACAGAGCACTATTTAACCTCCAGCTGTAGATAACATCACCTGCCTGACTTCTTCCCTTCAACTCCAGTTAAAGCAAGAACAGAGCTCTCTCAAGGGAGAGCTGGAGCAGTATGTCTTCAAGGTGGTCAGAGACACAGGGCAGGAATTCATTCAACAACTCAATCTCCTTGAAGGAATATTTCTTAGATTCATGAACTGTTTTCCTTTTTACCCACCAAGGAGCAGAAATTTGGGAAGCAGGGCATGCACAGTACCCCTGCTGTGAACAGTTAAGCTTTGCAGACAGAACAAACCTGCTACCAATAGGAAGATGGAGCACGGAGAAGCATTTAAAGCAGTTCCTTCCCCTCACTGCTGCAGTGCAACACTAAAGCCAAACACCCTAGAGACAGTCCAGCCTGACTGGGAAAGCAGCAAGGAACACATTTTACAGTAATGTTATCAATCAAATCTAAATCCCTCACGTGACAGCTTTCTGAAAACTAGATGTTACTCACTGAACTGCAAGAAAAATGGCTTCCTATCTAGTAAAAACTAAGTGAATGCTATGGCTAATTCCTTTAAAACCATTTAGACATTTGTTTGAGGAGGAACTATAATAAAATGCAGATGTTGTACTACTTTACAAAAGCACTTTAAAAAAAGCCCAAACAACAGCAGTCATAGGGCAAACAAAGAATGCTGTGTAACAGAGAGCCTTTCTGCATCTCATCATCTGTGTCCATAACAGAGAAGGGAAATATACTTCTTGTAGATACAGGAGAAATATAGAGAACAAATGCTCTATAACCAATCCTTAGACCTTATTGAGCAGCTGATTGGTGTATTACCACAAAGCCTCCTTTCCAAAAAATGTAAGCCTGTCAGTACTACTTGTAGGCCATGGTCAGAACTAGTAACAAATACTGTATATGATGAAGTGGAGCTTGCATTCAGTGTCCCAGATTATAGTGTCATCAGGCACGTAGGTTTGTGCAAAATCAATTTGTCATGAGTGTTGATCACAGTAGTGTAACAGAGCAAAACTGATGATAAAAATGTACCAAATTTTTGATAGAAAAGGTAGAGGAGGTACCTTTCATTCTAGTCTGAGTGCCCAAGTCCCCATACTTCTATCCCTTACAGAGCTTGAACCAAAGGAATGCAAGTCGCTCTTTTCCAGTGCAGGCAAGCTGTACCTACACACACAGGGGCTGGCTCAGCACAGGCCAGCCTGCATCCCACGGGATGGGCCCAGCTGCTTCCACAAAAGCAGTACAATCACTTGTGTGCAGAGCCCAGACTAAGCTCACCGGATCCAGGCTGGCTCTTCACCTTCCCAAGACAGCCCCTGTCGACCAGAATTCATTGCCCCAGCCTCTGTATAAGTTCTGCAGGTAACCATGTGACTCCATGGGAGATGCTCTGCGTCCGTAGGCTTGGATCCAAGTGTCTGGATCTACCAGGAGCACATAACTTGAGAGGCACTGACATACCCACATGTAGAGGCAATTCCAGAAGCAAGGGAACAGCAGAGCTAAAAGAATTCAAGCTGGATATGTTCTGGCATTCAGAAGGGACAGGCATGGAGATGAATCACATTTTACACAGTCTCCCCTGTTTTTCCACAGACATTCCTACCACAGAATACCTGAACAAAAGCACAGTAAAGCCAGTAGAATAACCCTTCTTAATGGTAAGAAATCTGTTTACATATTCAAGCTTTAAATCTCTCAAAGAGCTAAATCCTTACATGTCCACTCCTAACACCAAAATAACCAACCTGTAAGTGCTCAGTCCCTCCTAAATCAATGGAAGGTATTCAAACAAGACACAGAGCTAACACATAACAGCTTATAACACAACTTTTATTAGAAAAGTTATACATAACAGCATCAACTATTTTCATTATTAACCTTGAAAAGCAACAAAAACAGACTAAAAATGTGTAACAAGAAACTAATGACCTTCTCTATAATTAAACATTCAAGTTATCTACAATGTCTCTTTTTACAAAGGGGAAAATTATGGTTTTACAGGCACATCATGTTGAAAATAAAGCTGCAGTAACTTTATACAATTAACTTTTTAAGGATTATTAAACCATGTCATCATGTAGTCTCAGAGTTTTTCAAACATTCACATAATTTTACAGTTGAGTATACACTGAAATTTGAGTCCCAAAATTATTTCACAAAAGTGCCAACATTAAAACCAGAACCTTCAGTGTGAACAATTTTGCCCTAAAAAAAGTTAAGACAGGTCTCCATAATCAACATATTCACATAATATTTGGTGTTACCTGGTCTAACAGTAAAGCTTCATTCTTTAGAATTAAAATCAAATGGGACTTCTTTTGAAAAACCAGTAAAATGTTTTGAACACAGGAGTGTAAATTATCAGAACAAATTGATACTAAAACCATAAATATATCCTAACAGCCATTAATGCACTACATGATTAAGTGGAATAGGGCCCATTTGTACTCTGTATTCAAAGTTTGTTGCCCTTTTGGTACAAGTGGTATCTGAATTCACCAACTTTTCTTCGTATGCCTGCTTAATAAAGAAATCAGATAATTTACAATCTAGAAGTCTGTTTTAAAAAGTCTGGAGTTTATATACAGCTCTAACAAACCTAAAGCATTATATCTTAAAAGTTTAAATGAAATGACTAGTTTTCATTTGTCACTTATTAACAGTAATTAGCCATTATCAGTAGTGGACCATAATGACGTGGTAAGTGAAAAGGAATGTTTTGTCTAAAATGCTTAACATGTTCTGTCCTTTCTTGTATCACGTGGAGGAAGTGCCTTCCACAGACACTCGATTCCCCTTAGCGTCAAGGGCTACAAAAATCCGACTGCAAAAATGCAGTGACACAGCAAGCTGACATATCAGGCACTACCTTTCATACTGGCAGCTTTAAGAGACCCACAGTATGCACAAAGATCTAGAGAAGGGGAAAAAAACCCACTACTATGAGAAGCAGGCCGAACATTTCAGACGAGTTTGGCAAAGTTTTTAATCAGACAATAGGTTGGCCATTCAGGTTTACTTGTATAGGTTAAAAATATCTATTGAATCAACTAGTCAAATTACTGTAAGACATTTTCATTGATACTCAACATCACATGCACCAATATTGCACACATCTGCTCCGAGGTGTTAAAACAATCTTAATCTGGGTGCTTGAGCAGTCTGGTTTCTGCAGCTGGAAGTCAAGTCACCCACCCCAGCAGTTTCACTAAAAATTTGAGTGGTAAAGTTAAAATACAAACCCCAAAATAACCCCAGAAGAAAACCAAGGACTTTATACAGACAATAAAATCTAAATTTTCTGCAATGGTCTTGTGGGCCCTACAGACAGGGCAATACACGTACACACTAGTGAGATGAGCACTAGCTCTGCTCTACGTAACCATTCAGATAATATGAAACCTGGGACCAGGTGTTGCAATGATGTCACTGTAGGGCTCCTCCTGTGTCAGCTCTATTGCTTGTTGTTTTTTCAGTACCAGGAAACTGTAGAATTTTGCAGCTGCTTGTTTTCTATTTGTATTTCTGCACAGCTCAAGCAAACTGATGGATTCTGCTCCAGTCTTAGCAAGAGCTCTCTGAAAAACACATTGGCACCACAAATTAAATAGAGAACTACACAGAAACAACATCTCTTGGTAAGATTCTGTTTGTTGTCTACCCCAGGACACCGTGAAAGATTCAGAAGAACTTGACATTAGATGGGCACATTACAACATGTAGATGAAAATTTCTATATAGATCTTACCTAAATGAAACCAAGTAGGCTTCCCAGGGACATTTAAAAACACTCTTGAATCTGCTGAACTTATTCCAGAAACACTGTAGTATAGCATAAGATTTTCTTTTTGCAGCAATAACTAACCAGTCTTATTTTAATACAGGACAATTTTTTTAAATAGGAGAAAAAAAATCAGATTTTATTTCTCAAAATGAAAGTAACTCTAAAAATAATCACATAAAATTTCAAGAGCTAATGTTCTTTAAAAGATGCATGACTTTCCCCGAAGTGAAACTCTGTTTATTTCTAAAACTCCTCTGTTTGTCTGAAACTAGGTACACAAAGCTGCTTACATTTTCTCAAAATCTTGGCAATAATGTATTAAAAAACAGTAATTGTAAAAATACATATTTTTTCTGGCTAGGACAACAACTGACATCATCAATTTAAAACAGAATCTGCTCCGGAATATCTACTAGATTAAAAGATATTAGGGCTGGCCAAAGCAAATTACTTTAATCAGATCTCAACTTTGAATCTCATTGCAGACTTAACGTTTCAGTCATCCAGAGTGATGCTCTTTTGGTACAAGGAAGAAAGAGTTGAAAAAGCTAGACGTGGTCCAAAGAGAATTCTGAAGCTCTTTCCAGACATTGTGATGAAACACTCGGAGAGGAAACATTAAACAACATTACCAACAGCTGTGTACTTTAGATACTACTTTTAAGCTACGGCTGTACTGGTTTGGGCTGGGACAGAGTCATCTAAACGTCAGAGTTTCAGAGCTATCTTCGCAGTAGTTCATGTGGTGCTGTGTCTTGGAGCAAGTAGGCTGGGGGTACACAAGGAGTTGGGAGGGGACACTGCCAGCACAGCTGAGCCCAGCTGGCCAAAAGGATAATCCTTGCCATACGGCATCACGCTCAGCACACAACACAGCAGGAAGGACGAGGGCGGTGTGTGAGCATTTGGGATTGTGGCATTTGTATTCCCAGTCACTATTACATGTAATGAAGCCCTGCTTCCCTGGAAGGGGCTAAATGTCTGCCTGCTGTTGGGAAGCAGTGAGTGAACTCCTTATTTTGCTTTGCTTGCATGCACCATTTTCACTTTACCTATTAAACCATCTTTATCTCAACCCACAAGTTTTCTTGCTTTTACCCTTCTGATTCTTTCCCCCATCCCAGCAGAAGGCAGTGAGTGAGTGGCTGTGTGGGGCTGTGCTGATGACCTGGGTTCTTTGTTTAAAGCAGTCTTACTTAAACTACCAATATTCCTGCAGGTGTGCAAAAGAACTGACTTAAATCACATTAGTTTACAATGTAATCTGAACTAAATTTAAGTGTATTAAAATATCATAAGGAATATTTAGGAGTTTGAAATTAAGGTTGTTTGAAGATATAAGCAATTAATTCCTATGATAGAACTCTACTAACATTTTCCAGAGATGTAAAGCCTTTCCTTGATTATATCTTAATTTTGAGAAACTTAACAGAACACACACTAGAACTAAATCTCGGTTTACTGAAAACTCTTCCCCCAAAGCCACCATACTGGAAATTTAGAGATCCTGGAAGTTCAGAGATACAATACTGACTATGACATTTTGTAAGGACAGATGGAGCCTATCAATTTCACAAAAAAAACAAGGATGGCTTTGGAAAACAGAAACAGTTTAGAGTGATGAAACTGAAGCACTTCAGTGACTGCAGAATCTCAGGAACTGCCCAAATGTTCAAGGGAACAAAGGGGTAGGAGCTACAAACTTGGTTGAAAGGCAAAGGTAGTCCAAGAATATGTGAAGGACACACAGAGGCCTATAAGCAAATGAACAGTGGTTTGTGCTTCAGTTCGAGTGCTCACAAGGGGTGTTCAACCATCAGATCAGAAAAAAGCTCTTGAGTTCCAGTAAGCAAGAATCCATCTTACAGATAGAGTCTGTGCAGACTGAAGCCACATCCTGGAAATCAGACAAGGTCAGATTCCCACACTTGTTAGAGATTCAGCTTCTCATGGTGTAGAATTTTTCCAACTAGCACAGCCAGGAGTAAACATCCTGTAAAAAGGTTTTAGCCCTAGATCATGATGGACTTTGCCTAGGGCCACACAGCACAAAGTCAGAGGTGCTATGGTTTCATTAAAAACACAATCAAACTCAATAACTTTAAAATTTAAATTTCTGGGAGTCTTACTTGCACACCAAGTGTGGACATAAAGGTTGAAAAACACCTAAGCAAAAAAATTTACTTCAAGTGTTCTTTGGAATAAAATGACAATTATATGAATATAGATTTAATTTTAATTTAATTATTTTACATAGATTAAATCAACTACATGCATTTTTCCCCCTCTAAGACATAACTGATATTTTAAGCTGTAACATCTACTGCAAAGAAAGCTCTTTCTTAACTTTTTAACTCAGGTCAAAAGCATCAGTGGGCACACTCAAAAGCTACTTCAAGAGAAAGCAAATGATCATGTGTACCTGAAGTCCATGAAGCATTTGTTGAGTCCTCTTGTTCCATCTCCTTTCTTCTTGATCCTGATCGCACGTGTAAAATAAAAGATGTCATTGAAGTTTGTCTTGACGGCCACAGAATATTAAATATTGTAGCTAAGAGACAAGTTATCACATTTTAGGATGTGGCTGGTTTTCTTGCAAAAAGCTACTTTCATAAGGCAGCACAAACTATTTAAAATGAACAACAACATCAAGTTCAAAACTTCTTGTACAAGGCATCATAAATATATAGAGTGGTTTAATCCAGCCATGTGTGAGAACAGGAGAACCCTCTAACATAAAACAGAATGTATATACAATTTATAATACAAAATACCATAAATATTATAAAATGGTCATGAAATACTTTAAGAATTTACATTTCCAAAGGCTATCGTTTCCCAAGGATACACTAAAGATTTTTCTTATGCCATTTACTGAATCCACAGCCAAATGCTTCTGGGAAACACACAAACTCTTCCTACACAGAGTTCTTACCTCTTCTTCTTCCTCCTCCTCCTTCTCCTTTTCTTTCTCCTTCTCTTTTTCTGGCAGAAGTTCTAGCTCTGGTATTAGCTGGCAGATGTTTTGGGGCTCCTCTGGAGGCATTTCCACAGGTGGCATTTCCAGCTGTTGTGACGGTGGATGCTGTAAAGGTACACAATACAGTTAAACCAAAGGATAATTCTGTCTGTGCCTTTACAATACAATGACAATGCAACAGACCAGTTGCATAAAATTCAAGTATCTAAATCTTAGCTATTTGTCTGAATTTTTCTTTTTTAAAAACCGAAAAGCATTTTTTTTGCTATCCATACATGTATTTTTAATCCTTTAGATTCTACTCAAACCAGAAATTATGATATCTCTATAAGAAAAAAGGCTTTCCAATAATTTCACTTAGTCCACCATCGATCCCATTTCTTGAATTGGCACATTCAAATTTAAAATCCTAGATAACCAGATTCAGTACTACATGAACACACTAACTTGGTAGAATAAGACATCTTCAAAGTATCAAAATGCTGTTCTCAGTGATATAAATGTGAAGGAATTAAAACACAGGTGTCTCGCAAAGTTTCCTAAAATCTATGAGTGACTTTGGTGCTCAATTATCATTCTCAGAAAATATTTATATCAAGAGAAAAACCCAGAAAAGCCGTTTAACAGGATTTATGTAGTCAGTTTTAATAAAATTAATATACAGCACTCTCCTTGTGAATCTATATGCAGTTAAGTGTTTGCCAGCAAAGTTACACTGACACCTGAAACTGTTTCTACACATACTCTAAAATGGCTAAGCAACTTCTGACTTGGTCAAACAGCAGGTAACACTACAGGTATGTTGACAGAGGCCTGACCTGCTCATGTGATGGAAGAATTCCCAACACTCACTCCCCCAACTACACTGACTTCAGTACAGCTGATGCCAATTTCACCCCATAACATGGCCAAGTGGAGCAGCAGCTGCCACCCTTTTTAATAAGATAATGTAACATCAGTCTCATTCTACAGCAAACAATCTGCTGGCCAAGGAACATGAAAAGTGAGGTTAAACATGCACAATTATGAGACATAGCATAAACCAGGACTGTTCTCAGCAGATAAGCATTCAGAAAAAGAATATACCTTTCATTTTGCCCTTTTCCTTCCTTTCCCCTTCAAAATATTGTTTCCTTTCACACTGCATCACATCTAGTTTCCAAGACTACTCATAGCTCAGCTACGAAATACCTCCAGGCAATCAGTCTTTCTTTGAAGCCTTAAGCCTGGAACAATAGGACTGTCTTAAAAAGGAAGTTTGTGCAGCTAGCACAATCCTTGCTTCAGTGGAAAATGTTCATATACACTTGCCCAGCAGAACCTGATAGCTTTGTAAACAATACACTTAATTCCTTGAAGACTTTTTCTAGAGGAAATAGTGTCATTTCTTTATCCTACACGCATTTTAAATGTTTCAGTAAGCTTTTTGCTTAAGAATAAACACCAGAATGCCTACCCAGGGGCAAATGTTCTGCTACTACTCCAGAGAATCTCACATGACCATGGAAAGCTAGGGCCTCAAATCTGTCATTTCCTGCTCAAAGACACCACCCACTTCTCATTCCCCATAAAAAACCACAGTGAAATCTTACTCACGGGTAGCACTGGCTCTGGCTCTACTTGCTGCACTTTGCGTTTCACACCTGTCTGAGGTGGTGGGGGCGGCATAACAGATTCGTCCAGGTTGGTTCTGCTGCCTTCCATCATCGACTCCTGTAAACGGCTTGGTTCTTCAAGAATAGGTTCATCTATATTCCACAACAAAACTCGGTTTAGATGTATTAGAAACCATACCAAAGTCTAATCTGCTATTAATTTAGAACTGAGCACTCTTAACAGCCTGCACAGCTTTTGCAGTGACAAGCAGAATTGGCACAGATGTGCATACAAACCAATCCAATACACATTTAGTCCACTGGTTCAAACAATTCCTAAGCGCCCTCTATTTCTAGCAAATATAAGTTATTTTCGGTCACAGACTGTACATCAAGCTAAACAACCATTACAAAGCTCTTTGCTCCATTCATAATCTTTGATGACTTAATACAAAGCACAAAAAAAAAAAAGAAAAATAAGCTCTGAAGGAAGCAGAGCATCTTTGACAAGACACAAACCAATGACATCTCGTTGCTGCTGTTGATGCTGCTGCTCCTCTCTGGGAACTTCTGGGTTTTCAAAGTCTTTAAGGAACTCATCAAGGTTGTCAGCTTCTCCACCTTTCCTCCTCTTTCTTAGGTCTTCTGGTACCAGAGGTGTAAGACAGCGAGTAAAGAGCTATAGAGGAAAGATTACATTATTCACTACTGAGAACTACAGTTCTCAGTGTCCTTCAATTTCATTTCAGGTCAAGTAATTATGGCCTATCTTACTTTCCTATTTTTTAAGCTCCTCTCCACAGTACTAATATTAAAAAAAAAAAAATTTACTTCTGTAACTGGTAACACCAACGCTTAAAATAGTTATCTTTCTTGTTTTAATGTGTTTTTTTTTCCAGTTATGAATATTACTATATCACTATTGATATGCTGATGTTTACTATATGTGAGGCACAGTCCTGAATACAGTCCATTTAAAAATGAACCTGCACAAAAACATTACCTTCAGTAGCCTGTTATTCCACAAAGGTTGTGCAGGCAGAGAGAAAAGCTTTTCAACTCCACCAGTTTCTTTCCACATCATCAGTTTCTTAGTAGGCGGTGCCAAATCCAAAGTAGTAACAATATCAGAGTAGTCACTTAATTGGGCTCGAATAGTCTTGCTATCCAGTTCCTTCACACTGTCCACAATCAGCTTTCTCTTCCTCTTTGCTTTGGTTTCTTTGACTGTTGAGATTTTTAGCAAGTAATGAAGGTTAGCTCAGATACCACACCATAGAAGAATCTTGCAGGTTCTCTATAGGTCTTATTTGCCCACGTATAAAGCTACCTAAAGCATCTAAGGCAATGTCAGCTTTGGGAGAAGGACTGAAAGGCTACAAGCAGTGTGAAAGATCAAATACTAGGAATGCTGTCCTGTAACCTACAAATTCTTTTGTGTAGACTCGTAGTTTTACTGAATCTACCTAAGCCTTGATGTCCTCAGCTGCACATGCCTCCCTCCCCCATGGCTTGTTTGTTAGGCTGGTGCAAACCCTGGCCAACATGTTGATTAGAGGGATGGAGCACCTCTCCTATGAGGAAAGGCTGAGAGAATTGGAATTGTTCAGCCTGGAAAAAGAGAAGGCTTCGGCGTGATGTAATTGCAGCCTTCCAGCACTTGAAGGGAGCCTACAAGAAAGATGGAGGAGACTTTTTACAAGAGCATCTAGGGACAGGACAAGGGGGAATGGCTTCAAACTGACAGAGAGTAGGTCTACATTAGGTATTAGGAAGAAATTCTTCACCGTGAGGGTGGTGAGGTACTGGAAGAGCTTGTCCAGAGAAGCTGTGGATGTCCCACCCCTGGAAGTGTTCAAGGCCCGGTCAGATGGAGCTCTGAGCAATCTGGTCTAGTGAAAGGTCTCGCTGCCCATGGCAGGACAGTTAGAGCTAGATGATCTTCAAGGTCCCTTCCAAACCAAACCATTCTATAATTCTAATCACAGAGTGAAAATACTATACCAGGTTTTATCTCTAAGCCCTGCCTGAGCTTTGGTGGACTTAATGTGGGTGGTTATCTTACCTGTACCTCTCACCCTGCTCTAGGATGACATTGCTTACAGTCTGGCACTCTGCAGCAGACCATAAAGCTCTGGCAACAGCTGTCTTTGCTGGTCCTAGCAGATCTGCTGGACCCCTGCTGCCAGCCTGCCACGAGAGGGCAGTGCCAGGGCTCTCTGATTGGCCAAGCAGGGAATCAGGGCCTGGAGCTCAGTCTGAAGACACAGGACAAGCTACTTTCTTTCTAGATCCTAATTTTTCATTAAAGCAGGGATCTGTTTACAATGAGCTAAATACAGTATTGGTTAAAGTAAGAAAGTTTCTTGCATTAAAGAGAAAGACAAGGAAATCACCTATTTAGTAGAATTTCAAATACAAAAAGATACATTTCCTGAACTCAGCAATTCATTAAAGCTACAAATCACTAGAAGAGCACTCATTCTCAGTGTAAGCAGTCACTCCTGGCTTTCAAACATAGTATATCAAGAACTGTGCTGCACTACAGATAGCATATTAGAATTAAAGACATGATGAGTTCTATTTCAACTCAGTGCATTTAAACTAGCATGTTTACCAAAAGCTATAGTATTGTGCTATTATACATTTCGACTGCAGAAATTACAAACTAGTATCCTCCAAGACCATCCATGGAAGCTATCTACCTGGAAAGTACTGGAAGGCTACTGTTAGAATAAAAGGAATTCAGCACTTGGTGCCTGGTTTCTCTTCCAGCTGAGAAACAGAATCAGCAGCAGTTCTAGACATTCATTTCCACTCCATCAAGCTAAGGTAGTCTCTGACAACACAAGTAAAATATTCCCAAATAGCTTACTCACCAGTTATGTCAATAGGCTCCAGAGCAAAAGCTTCCTCTTCATTGGGAACAAGCGTTGTCTGATCAGTCATAGTTGGTAACGGTTCAACTGGATCCACGGAGTCCGGGCTGTCTGGGCCACCCACTGCCAACGAGAACAGGTACCTTGCACTATTTCACAGCATGGAGAAACTGTGCTACCCTGCCCATCCCCTCCTCCACAACCTCAAGTGATTTACCCCATTTCATACTTTGAGCTTAATTTGCTTTTAAGGAATTAAATAAAAATCAAATCAGTTGAAGAGTAATTCTAGATCTAACCCTAGTTAATACTCACTTGATACATTATCATCATCATCCATATCATCGTGGGGAGGTTGCTCTGGCATCATTACTCCACTTTCTGAGAGTGCAGGTGGGTCATCAAAAATACCACCATCATTATTACTGAGAAGTTTGTCATCTGAAGCAACCATATGAAAGAATCAGTTTTGCATCCACAAATTCATGAAAAAGTACTGACAAATTTATAAAGAAGTACAGACAAGTTTATCACAACACAGATAAAGACAGGGCAAAGGTTAGAAAACTTCCAATGCTGACACAGAAGAAAGCAGCAGTGCCTTTTCATGGTGCATGTCAGCACAAATTTTGAGCTTACAGGCAACCTTTATTACAATACAATTGCCACATATTTGCATCTTACTGGGTTTCTTAGAACTTCATTTATGCCAACACTTAAGATCATCTGTACATCATCTGCACTGCTGTAGGACTCATAAACCAGAATTCTACTGTTGAAGGCATAACTTTGAAAGAGATCTTTGCTACAAGGAAAACAGCTTCCCCCTGTCCACCCAAGAACTTATGAATGCAGAAGACAGGATGGAGGATAAACAAATTTCTCAAACTTACCCAATATTCCACCATCATTTCCTTCTCCAAAATTATCATCTTTGTATTGGTCTTCATATTCCAGGTGATTAGATTTCTCATTGAGGTGACTGGTGCTCTGTTCAGGTTCCAATAGGAGATTGGAAGCACTGGTGCTTACTAGCATGTCATCCTCAAATGCACTACCTTCTCTCATCATCTCACGATCATCCATCCCAAAGTCACCTGCAAGAATACAATTCCACTGCTATAAGTGCTAAACAACCAAGGTGCAAGAGACTTAGCTAACTGATCAGCAAAAGCCCAAATGTAAAATCAAAATTCATTTCATCTTAGTTGCAGAGTTAATGACAAGGTGTAAGAAATTATGTCCAGCAATCCCATGGCAAAAGTACTGTTCAAACAATTATAAAAAATAACTATCTCTTCTTCAAAGCATTTTATTTTACTTACTTGAATTTATATTAGCAAGATCCTACTAAATTTTATCTACACAGAAACCAAAGAATTCAATGAATTTCAAAAATGTTGTACCTTATGCCTCAAGGCATACAGGGAGCAAACCAATACCAAATCAACACCACCATAAATTCCTGGATTATTCTTTCAAAAAAATTACTAAATTATGGATTACAGTACTGTATGCTGGGAACTAGACATTCAAGTACAACTGTCTTTAGGCTTTGATTCGTATTTTTAGAACACTGTTCTTGAAAAGACACTGGAAGCAGTAAACTCCTTGCCACTGACTGCTTCAGCTTTAGAAATCTCCTAATGGTTTCTGACTGAGAACATGCTTATGATTAAAGCAACACCTGACTTCATATTCACACACTTGAAAATTATAATTGACATAGTACTTCGCTAATTAACCTGACTGAATAATCTTCAGCTTTTCTTTCTGCCTATTCTAGGCAGCTAGAAGTTTTCTGAGCATTAGAGGACAGACTTTCTGGAAAAACTGACCCAAAAATTAAATGTACAAAACCAAAGCATGTTTGAGCTAATTTGTTTTGTGTTTAGTGGGCATTCAATAGTTATTGCAAAACCATATCTTATAGTTACCAAAATTAGCTAGTAACACATAATAACGCACGAGATCTTTACCAAAGTCATTATCCTGGAGGATACTGATGTTGCCTACTTCTTCTCTCATTGTAATTTCTTCCACTCTACTCTGGTTCAAACTGAACTGCTGGGCCACATCAATATCACTTAAACAAACAGAAGGCAATTATTAAAAATCTCCATTAAAAAAAATTAACAACACAAAGTTGCTTAAAGAAATATGACATTAGCTCATAAGAAGTATATTTTACACTTCAGTCACTTATGAAAAAACTGATGATAAGCAGTGAATAGAAAACATTGCTTAGAACAGTAAGACCATTAATGATTCAAACGTCTCTCTCAATTGTGTTAGCTTCTGGAAATGCATCGAACATCTCTTACTCCTTGCTATATTTAGGTTACTAATTTTAAAGACCAAATTAATAATCAAGAAAAGACTTCCTCCCCTTCAACTTCAAAAGCTATTAATATAGTTTATCAAAAGCTATATTTAGAACCAGTACTAAGTTAACACTCTTTGTGGTGTATTAAGGTATGTTTCTTAGAAGAACACAGAATTGTTATGCAATTTCAAATTAGTATTTACTCTAATTTGAACATAAACTAAACAGAACACTGAATAATACAAGTACAAAGTAAATTCCATTATGAATAACCTGAAAGAGTAACATCAATTTTTTCAAGATCAAGAACCATTCAGGTTGTATACTTGTCATGTTTACAAGTAACCCATTAGCAATAAGAAGTTT